TTCAGTCTATTTTTCGTGATTTAACTACCAGACGACACCTATTGATGGTAACGCCTTTGATACAGGTGTACCTCGTTCTAATTGCAACTTAGTTATATTTATTTGCGAAAATATATTTCATTAAATTGTTAGTTAAGGAGAGGTGATAACGAATTTTGAATATGAAAGGTCTTTGCTGTCTTGTAATTTTAAGAATAGATCGGTTTTTGTTTAAGGTGAAAACTCCCAATTAGTCTGCGCTTTTCCTGTTTAAACAGCCGATAGCTGAACTTGCAATTTTATTCATATTGTAACACTTTGTACATAAACGCTGTTTTGCTGACCTGGCTAGGTCTTTGTCTCAGTACTTTTACTTTCTAAAATAGCAACAGTAACAAAAGATTTCAGGTTAGAAATAGAAGTTGTATTTAGTTTTCATTTAACTCTAAGTGATTTCTGTTTATATTGCTAATGTATTCTTTTGTCTTCAATGGTTGTAAAAATCATATATAAGTAAGTTAGTTTTTACTGATTTTTCGATTACATTGCCGATTACATCGCCGATTATTTCGCCGTGTCCTAGCCGAGTTATTGCTGTTTGATCCGCTGAAGAATAAACGCTGTTGGAACCAAGTTTAGTCTGTTTTATCTACTGCTGTACCAGTTAGTGGTCTGATCCCGGACCTCGAGAGAAGTGACGGCTCTTCCTCGCAAGCGAGTTGCCATTTGAGTCTAGTTTTCCCCAGTTTTATCGTGAGTCAAGCACCGAGTTCCCGTTGAGCCTTAAATTCGTTTCAAAGTGGAAAAACCTTCCGTCACAATACACTTGAAATTTCTTTAGCCACGTTTTAGCAAGTTCAGTCAGATCTACAAGGTTAAGAATAATATTTGTCCTCGACACATTGCTGACCTTTTCCAGAGGACAGACACCAAATATCCACTGAGGAACAATACCTTGATTAAATACGATTACACATGGCGGAAGGCTTCTATTACGTATATTGGCCCTAAGGTAAGGAACCTACTGCCTAAAAGGATCAGGGACCTTCCTAAACTATCTGTGTTCAAGCAGTATATTCGACAGCTTGACCTAAATTCCTTGATTGCTGACGCTCAGTGCTGAAATTGCACTCTATGTAGTGCGTAATAAACAAACAACTATTTTTTTACGAAGCTCATACGCACTTGTAAATAGTTGTTGTTGTTTTTTTTTTAATGTAGTAATAATATAATATACACATGTAATAATGTTATAAATTTTACACTCGGTCTCTGGTCAATAATGGTACACTTGTAAATAGTTTTATTAATTTGATTTGAATTGCTACAATAGTTGCTTACTTTTATTCAAAGTTTTCCCATTTAGTGTTCCCCTACTGCTATGTTAGTTTCACACCCAAATAAAGGTATTGATTGACTGATTGATTGATTGATTGATTGGCTCATGATCTGCGGGTTTTTGGCCCGTGTTCATCTTTTAATTTCGTTTTGCTTTCAAAAAATCATAACGTCAAAAACCAGCCCTGCGGTTACCCCTATACAAGAACAAGTTTTCTTCAACGAGGTAAACTACATTGCTGCTTAAGCTCCATTATGTTACGTGCTACTTGACTCAAAATTTTAATTGTTATCGCACACGCGCGAGGAAGCTACAGCTCCTCTGGCATAAATATCTCGCTACTGTTTTGCAGCAAGTATACGTTTCAAAAAGTAGGGTCACGTTCTGCAGCTAAAATAAGAACGAAAATGGGGAGTCCGCCCTGAGGACTAACCCCTTAACCATTTACACACCATTTTTGACATAAAAGCGGAGGTACCCTTTCGTATACCGTCTATTAGCCTGAACCAAAGCCGGCAAACACCGTGAACGCCGCATAAGCCCTCCTCTTCAGTTGTGCATGGGCCCATATCATGGCTTTAAACGAAAAAAGTAGCTCCGAATATAAGCCCCATCGGGTATAATAAGCTCTCTTCTCGCTTGAACTGAATTGAATTCTATTTATAGCTTTAATTAACGACCAATAAATGTAAAAACATCTGTTTTGATCAGCACTGCTACAGCTTATTTCCAAGCGCTTTTTCTATGTCATCTATAGGCCTTCTCGTATGTTAAATCCCCTCCGTTTATACGGGCCTTCCTAAAACCCCTGAAGAAGAAGTATAGGTGACAGTTTATGGTAATAGTTTATAATGCTGAAGACGATCTGTTAAGAATGAGCAACATTTAAGAGGAGTGGAAATAACTCAATGTCTGTTGGTTCATAGCCGTAAAAAAACTGTTTACTTCTTGTTCTTGTTCTATTTTATTATTTTTGTGTGTGTGTGTGTGCGATCAATACTGTCATTAACGTCACAGTAGTAGAGGAAGGAGATATTTTTGTACCTCTCACACATATCTAGCACTAACAGAAAGTCGTCTTGTCGTTTTCATGTAGCGTTTAAATTCAATTTAAGTGTAGTTTCAGTGGCTATAAAATTGCCAAATTTGAAAGCGATACGTCTTAAGCATGCAGAGATATAGCTCAGCAAAGTTCAGTGTGAAAATCTACAGACCTAAAGTTGTGCGTGGTGGGGGAGGGAGAGGGGAGGGAGCAAGTTTGTGCCGGCCCCCATCATACAAATGTCTGTAAAATGTCGCAACTTGGGAGACTTATATCTTCGTCAGTTTTCAACAATCACTTTCAAAAATTGGCAATGTTACTCATTTTAAGGCGTCCTTTCCAGTGGTGCCAACTGCCGATATATTTTTCATAACTTCTCAATATAAAAAGTAGACAGAAAGAAAGTAACGTGAAATAGTCTATACTGAGTTGTAAGAGGTACCCTTTAGGGAAGTATTAGGGAAGCACCTCCCCGTATAGGTTTATATGGGAAGCCCCCCTCCCCTACTCACCCCCCTCCCCCTTCAATGTATAAGATATGGGGGTTTAAAAACAAACACACTTTCTAACACCAGACACGTTAAAGCTTGTTTAGCTGGAGCTTAATGGAGCCGCTACTTTTCCGACATTACATAGCCAACTTGGACTGAAGGCAAAGTACTATTTTTTGGCGCTCTAAATAGGAAAGGCATCGGGTACAGTTAGAAACACAAAGTCGTGATAGCATGCATAAAACTTTGTTGCTTTAAACAATTTATGTTCTGCCATTTATTTTTGGAATGTTCATCTTTTGACCCTGTTTCAGTACCCTGAAGCGAGCATAAACAGAGAATAAGAAGATACAAAAAAATTGCCATAAAAGGAAAAAGAAACAAGCAAAAACAAACAAACAATATACCGGAACAGAGGATTTACTTAAAATATTTGCTATAAAATGATGAGCACGTAGCACTGATTTCAGTAAACGCTGTGTTCTCGTTCTATTCTCACCGCCATGGTCAGTATTTCGCTGTTTTTCTGATTCTCTCTTTTTTTGGCGGCTCTCTGGGAACAACCACCTCACCTCAGCAACAAAACGCCTCAAAGTTAAAAGACTTATGCCAGGTAAGAAATGCATAGAGATATAAAAAGGAGAACTTAACTGCATCGTAGATTAGGTACACCCAGAAACCGTTTTATTATTCTCACGTCGTTATCATCATTTATTTACAACTACCCGTTAAAAGTGTAAGACAGTTTCTTTAAATGTCCTCGCTTCAGCATTATCTTTCCTCGAAGACCTTAAACCTGTACATTGTTTACTGTTAATTTTCTCTGATTCCATCCTCGTCCATTCGAGGCGAGATAACACTTTAAAGAGGATTATGATATCCAAGGTCCATTCCGTGCCTCGAAAACAAGGAAGACCGCCAACGGGTATAAACTTTGTCCACTTTGGTCTGAAATCATTATTTTCGAGTGAGCTTCTGGCGTGTATAAAAGTATTTTTCGTTTCAATTCCAAATGAGAAGGAAAGAGAAATAATCATGCGAATTTTTTTTTTTGTTGCTGTTCTAAATCAATCTACAAAGTATAAATGATGACATGCGTAATTTAATTCGTAGAGAGAAGGCCTGAAAACTGTTATGGATTTTACAGGCCAAGTCTGAAAACGGGGGGCCAAAAATGACGTGTTTTGGTCTGAAATAGAGTCAGGATTTGGAGAACCGGGCGGCACACCCCGCCACTGAAGAATTCCCAGGAGTACCCCCCCCCCCCCTCGAGTTATTTAAGATCCCGTGACGTCTTCGTCTCTGCTAATTACAAGTCATCTTTACTTTCAGCGATCTCTGATGGGTTTCCCTGGTATTCCAGGATCAAATGGTGTACCGGGAGTGCCGGGCGCCCCGGGGCCACACGGACACCAGGGAAGGGAAGGTGCAAAAGGACACATAACGCCGAGATAGCGCTTTAAATAGGATTATGGTATCCAAGGTCCATTCCGTGCCTCGAAAACAGGGAAGATGGCTGGCAGGTATAGACTTTGTTCATTTTGGTCTGGAATCATTGGTTTAATTTGAGGAAACTACAGGCGTGTTTGAACGCAGTTATCCTTTCAATTCTAAATGAAAAGGAAAGAGGAATAATTATGCAAATTATTTTCCGTTGCTGTTCTAAATTAATTTAAGTAGTGATGACATGCACAATTCTTAGAGACAGAAATTCCCAGGACTACCCCTCTCCCACCCCCCCCCCCCCCACGGCTCGAGTTATTAAAGATCCCGTGTCGTCTTTGTCTCTGCTAATTGCAAGTCATTTTTCTTTTATTTCAGCGATCTATGCTGGGTTTCCCTGGTATTCCAGGATCACGGACCCCAGGGAAGGGCCGGTGTAAAAGGACAAATTGGTGATAAAGGATCGCAAGGAATTCCGGGTCCAACAGGAGACAGAGGGCGCGAAGGACTTCCTGGGAAGAGTGGACCCTGAGGAATTAAAAGAAAAAAAGGTCAACAAGGACTTCTGGGAATAAAAGGAGAGCTAGGCATTGCGGGAATGAAAGGAGAGCAAGGAGCTGTGGGAATGAAGGGAGAGCGAGGCATTGTGGGAATGAAATGAGAGCAAGGAGCTGTGGGAGTGAAAGGAGAGCGAGGCATTGTGAGAATGAAAGGAGTGCGTGGAGCTGTGGGAATAAAAGGACAGCGAGGCATTGCGGGAATGAAAGGAAGAAAAGGAGACAAAGAAGAGAAAGGAGAAAGCGTCAAAGCAAGTCAAGCAAATGCCGTACCACAAACCAACTGGAAACAATGTGTGTGGAAATCACTCAGCGGTACTGATAACGGAAAGATTAAGGTAAACAGAATAAGAATCATAACACACTCCTAAGAAAAATTGTTCTTTTGTTGATATATTCAGCATTTTAATAGTGAGCTTAAAAGAGGTTTTGAGCCGGACTCACGTCAACCGAAAGTGCGTTTTTTTTGCATCCTTGGGCAGTATTCTGCCGAGCAGTATGATGCCCAGATTTTCGGGGAAAGTGTTCTATTAAGACTATTATATTAGTAATAGAAATTTGGGTTTCATGACATATTAAACAAGATAAAGGTCTCTCTTCCTATTGAGGTGCGTCGAATGCCTTTGCTTGAGCACCCTATTAAAAGAAGAAAGAGGAGATAATGTTGTGCCAAAATTTAACAGAAAGAAAATGTAAAAATGTAAGGTCGGCACCATCTCACAATGCACGGCAATGGTTAGAAAGGATGTCAGAAACTTTGCATCGGCTTTAAAACAATGCTGAATGAAAGACATTAATTAAAAGAACGTCTATTCGCGTTGGCCGTTTTGGAAATTAGCGAGCAAAAAATACAAAATAATAGTAAGTCTTGTTTTAAGTTCACCACCGCCCACAACTAACCAACAATGGTTTCCGCAACCACAATAACAATTTGCATTTCTAGCTTTTATCTAAAACAAAGGGTGTTATCACTCACGTTCAAAGGTTTGTTTTTATGAATTTTAAAACACGCAATGAATCAATTTTGGTTTGGTGACAACCAATGCCAAATTTTTGCGTTGATAGCTCGTTTTCTAAATTCGTCGTTTACAGGTCGTTTTCCCTTCTCTAGCTTAGAATCAGTGGTCAAATGAAACGTAGTCTTTGTGCATGTACACTACAGTTTTTGTCGTTCTGTTTACGCCCTAACGTTCTAGTAAACTATAAATGAACCGGTCGGCCGCTAAAACAGTCGTTGATTTTAGTTTCTTCTATTCTAATTTGATGTTCACAGTTTATCGGTTAGCTTCGGTTCATCCGATTAGTTCTTTAAAAGAATTAACACAGTTTACTTGCCTCGCCAAAACAAGGAGGAATTAGATATAATATATGTCGCAAAGATAAGACAGACCAATATAAATGTCGCTGTTTAATGAACATGGCAATGTCAGCATCGATAATCAGAATGCCGTTTCTTCTCTTTCTTTTTATTTCTTAAAAAAAGTTTCAATTTAACGAGAAGGCCTGCAAAAGTTTTTTCAAAGGTACTTCCCTTTGCCATTTCAAATCACAACAACGAACAATAAAGTTAAAAGAGTCGGCATTGTCCAATCAGTTTTATCAGTTATAGTGTGGTCAGTATTTCCTGATTGGCTGACGTCTCCGGCCTCTATTGTTCTATTCTCTATATATTTGCGATACCACCCGGATGGTTTGGGCGGATCAGTAAAACCAGGGCACCACAAACTTCTCTTGCCAACACTTAAAGATAACAAAATACAATCTCACGCTCAATCTCAAGCACCAACCAGCATAGTTATTTATATTCAATGAGGCGATTTCAAATCATTTTTATATTACATCGTTATGCACATCAGATGCATTGCTTGCATCTGATTAACCCAGGTAGCATTGGGGTCTCACTCAAGGAAGCTGAATTAAAGCACATGGAAATTAAGGCACCGTTTCCATTGTTTCAACAGAATATTATATCAATAGATGGAGGCTAAGCAGGTCACTGAAGTGAAACAGAATGGGACAGTGGTAAAGAAATATTTTGATTACGAGGCCGGTGGCTTCTAATTCATACGTGTAGACAAGAACGAAGATTGAAAAGATACATTTGTCATAGTCAGTTACATCATCAAGGATAGTAATTTCAAGTTTATCTTAAACTCCATCCAGAAAAAAAGAAAAAAAAAAAAAAAAAAAAAAAACTTTCTAAGGTTTTTAAACTTCTCTTAATTAAACAGGAGCACCAGACGTCAATTTTCGGAAAATATCTGTGCGGAAGACGATTTAAGATCTAGAATATTCCGAACATTTGTTGTAAAATTTTTTCGTTGCCTGCTTCTGCTAGGATTTTCGAACATCTAAAAAATGGTAAAAATTCCCCATTTTTTAACGGATTTTTACCCTAAAAAGGTCACCCAGAATTTTCTGGAGCCTTTTTTTCTGGCTGAAATTTTTGAAAAGGGATGTTTTGATCCCTATAATTTTCGGATCACTATACTTTTTCTAGGAAATCCGAACAGATGAAAAATTTTTAGGGGATAGAAATATGCCTATATCTACTGTTTAATTACTAAAATACGGTCAAAAATGCTATGTTTACGAGGTTTTAAACTATATTCTCGATGGGTTTCCCTGATTGAACTCAAAAGGTTTTAAATGGTTCGTTCAGCGATCTTTAGAAAGCTAATGTAGACTATCTACAGTTGTCAAATTTACAATAGAAAGAAAAATAGACAAAGGAGTGGAAGGAGAAAGCGCCAAAGCAAATCAGGCAAGTGTAGTAACACAAACCAACTGGAAACAATGTGTGTGGAAATCAGGCAGCGTTACTGATAACGGGGAAAATTAAGGTATACGTAAATGGAATGAGAATCATGAATCACACACTCCAAAGAAAATTCATTCCTTTTCAAATAAAATATTTTTAAGAACGTTCCCACTCTAATCCATGGAATTCTTCCAAACTAATGCCAATTGCCAACACATAACATATTAGACAACTATCAAATTACATTTCCCTTAACTTTGTTTCGTGTGGATAGAAAAAAGGAAAGCCATCGTACATGAATAAAATGATTCCTGACCATATGGATATGGGCAACAAAACTTTAAGCTATTACCAATTTTAAATTAGGAGGTAATCTTGGCTGCATTGAGTTGGTATCACTACAAGAGAGGATAAAGGACAGAGAGGGAAACCCCCAGTGTAGCCCTTGGTGAATTTCACCAAAGTTAATTTTAGATCAATCAAACCCTTGAAATTCATACGAGGTTGGTTTTCGGAGACGTCCTCAGTTTCATTTAATTATGAGAAATAATTGGGCATTATGCTCCCTTGGTGAGTCGGTATTAACATATTCGGCATTGTTTGCTTTGAGGCAGTCGCGCGTGGACTCGATGACGTTTCAAACAATCGATTGAAACATTTAGACGTCTTAGGAATCAGACTCTACAAATAACTTTAATTTATTAATAATTTATATATCCTTGTCATCTTATCCGATTGCCTCTCTGTCCAATTATTCACTCTTGATATCTATCATTACCCTGTCGGTCGACTTAGTACAGTATGTTTGATTCTATTCCAGTACCGTGCGTTTAACAAACTACATTCTAGCTCAGCACTCAGAGTCTCATTCCAGGGAAACATGAGGGTCTGAGGTCCTTATAATCAGTGTAACAGGTGGTATTTCGAGTTTACTGGAAACGAATACAGTGGCCCAGTGACGATTGAGACTGTAATTTACCACTATTGGCAATCTGGGAAAGATCATAATCAGCATCGTCAGCGGTCACTTTAGGTGTACTTTGAAAACTGCCCACACAGTGTAGTGGCGAAACCCTGAGTGATGCTGCCACCTGGTGAAAATCAGGGTAAGGGATAACGATTGAAGAAGTATCTAGGTCCCAGTCCTAATAAGGGAGTCTCAAATACTCTTTGGCGCTGTTTCACTAACTTTCCTACGACGAGCATATACAAATATAGAAAATGTAACATGTGAAAGCACACGGTTCAGAGGTAATTTTTAATCATTTAAATTAACTTCCCTTTTAGCTTTTGGAATTATTTGCCTTAAGCTGGAGAAATGGAAGTTGAATATCTTGCATTCTTATAGAAATCGTCCACTTCTTTTCGAAAAAGCCAAAGTTTGTAAACCTGATCATATTTTCTTGGTGATTCCAAAAATTGCTTCAATTATCTTGCAGCAGATTCTTAATATCTATCTGGTTTAGGCCAGTTTTTATCTCTTTATTTTTCGTTCAAGCGATTCGAGATCGTTCCTACAAACTGTGACGTGAAAAAAAGGGTTAAAGCCCTCTTCTTACAATTTAGAGCAAGGTTTCTTCAACAAGGAAACTTCCTCGGCAGTAATTACTTTACTCTTTAAGTGCCAAGAGAGACCAAAGTCAATTTTCTCTTAACAGAGTCAATACATAAACAAGAGAAACTGTTGTGAGAATTAATGAAATGATCACCTGATGGGCAGAGCTTTGATCTATAAATAAATTTTCGTAACCAGTTCTTGAAGGAAATGTATGGAGATCAGTGTGGATAATTTGTATTTGGATAAAGTTGAGGCTTAAAGGGTTGAAGGGGACATGTCATGAGGATATTGTTGTTTTAAGTCAATCCTGTGCGGAAGTCATACTGATTACTAAGTGCCATTTAACCTATACTCAAAATGACTCGTTAGAGATATGACGGAGATTAAAACAAATATCACAGGGAGGAATAAACATGATAATAATATTTTTGGTGATTTTAGAAACTGTAGTTAAACTTGAAACAAATTGTTCCAACTTTTTACATGTTCCAGTTCGTGTCCATGCTTGACATCTGTTCAAATCGCGTAAGGGGAAAGCTGAATAACATATGGTCTCGCGACAAATTTGCAGTAAGCATCCTTTGCAAAAAGTAGGGTCAAGGTCTCCTAAGACTTACTGCAACAAAAATGCTGCATCAAGCGCTAGGGGCGTTCTGAGCAATTTAGATCTAGAGTTGTCTTTAAAAGTGAAAAATGGGGAAAAAAAGGTCCCAATACAAAAATTTCTACTCTAAATTATACTTAATCGGACGTGCGTTTCCACGGTCTGATTATTATGATTTCCTATCACTTGGTGTTTCCATAGTAAACAAGACCTTAATTAACCTCCCTACACATGTTTGGTGATGAGGAAAGAAGTGTACTTCCTCTTAAGCTAGTAGTAATAGTAGCAAAGTATTTGCAAAGGAAATAAAACGGGACTATTTAACTCGAACGGAAAGGAATGAGGCCTTCGCGAAGTCACGGACAGGCTAACGATAACCCTAAACATGCTAAATGCTGGTTAATACAACAAAATTAGAGATAAGTCTTTCCACTGAAATATCACCATAGTTCAGCTCTATGCATGCGTACACGAAAGCATTTTTCATTAAAGGCTTTGCGCTTATTCCGCTGGATGTAAACCATAATATTACAAAATACCCATGTTTACACTTAACATCACCTGGTAAAAAGGAACCACGTTTACAGGTCACAGCTCAAAGTTTGTGGCTCCCTGAACAAGAAACTGCATAGCAAGAGAAAATGGAAATAAAAGTCATCATCGCTATGAGTAATTCATTTTTTGACGTTGCTTTATCGATCAGAATCTTTCACCGAGCATTCTAAACGAAACTTTCTTTTGTTAAAAAACACCACGCCTCCTCAACAGCCTGATCACAGCAGTAGAGGAAGGAGATGCTTACGCAAAATTCAACACATACATGTTTTTTATTATTATTATTTTTACTATTTTTTTCATTTTTAATCTTAGGGGGTCATCTTAAAACAAACAATCAGTTCAGTTTCATGCATGACGTTACGTGCCGATATAACTGAGAAAAGGAAGTTAGACATACAAACACTTGCTAAAGAAATTGAGGAAGTTTTGAGCTGCAGCTAAAAGGAAACTCTAATTTTTCTGACCTAACACTGACTAACTTAGACTGAACGCAAAGTATTTTATCGCCTAAAAGTTTTTGGAGTGCTGGAGAGGAAAGGAAAGGGCTGCTGTTAGGAACACAAAGCCTCAGAAAGCATAACTATGGAAACATTTCTGCCTTTGTAAAACTTTACTGTCATTAATTTGTGTTTAGAATGTTCATCTGTTGACCCTGTTTCAGTTCTCGTTGCACATAGGCATATAAACAGAAAGTTACACTTTGCAAAATAATTACCATAAAAGGAGAAGGAAACAAGCAAAACCAAGCAAACAATGAACAGGAACAGAAGATTGACTTTCAAATACTTCGCACTATTTAAATGATGCGCACGTAGCACTGATTTCAGTAATTGAAGTGGTCTGGTTCAGCTCGCACAATGGTTCAGTATTTCGCTGTTTTGTTGATTCTCTGTATTCCTGGCGGTTCACTGAGAACAACCATCTCACCTCAGCAACAAAACACTGCAAAGTTAAAAGATTTATGTGAGGTAAGAAATACACGAAGATAAAATTGAGATTACGCCGTGGATTAGGTACGCCCAAGGGACTGAACCATATATTTTACTACTTTATCATCGCTACATTATCATTTGCAAATGCATTCCAATTTATTTAAAAGTCCTTTTTTAACATAATCTTTCATACACGAAAAACCTGAAGTCCGAGGTTAACTGTTAAAAGCTTCTTTCATTCCAGTTTTTTTTTCTTCCTTAGAACATACTGACAATAGGCCACTTAATTCCGAGTTCTAAAAATCCTCACCTTCAAAATGAGGCCATATACACAACCTTTCTTGTGAAAATGAGTTTTATTTGTATGAGAACGAAAAATCATTTCCATATCAAAGACTGAGCACTTAACTTCTTTTTGACACAGAGGCCTCGGGGGCACTCGAAAATGGCCTATTGGTTATCCCATTGTTTCCTGCTTTTCTTATCACACTAATTAAGGTCACAGTATTTAACGTTCAGTTTTCAGTTTTTATGTCTCTACATTAAACAACAAATCATCTTTACCTTCAGCGATCTATAGTGGGTTTCCCAGGCATCCCAGGATCCAATGGTATGCCGGGAATGCCAGGCGTTCCCGGGCCTCAAGGACCCCAGGGAAGGGACGGTACTAAGGGAGAAATTGGTGATAAAGGATCACAAGGAATGCCGGGTCCAAGAGGAGACAGAGGGCGAGAAGCGCCCCCCCGGGAAGAGTGGACCACGAGGAATCAAGGGAATAAAAGGTCAACCGGGACTTGTAGGAATAAAAGGAGAGCCAGGCATTGTGGGAAATTCAGGAAGGAAAGGAGAGAAAGGAGAGAAAGGAGAAAGCGCCAAAGCAAGTCAAGCAAGTGTAGTACCACAAACCAACTGGAAACAATGTGTGTGGAAATCACAAACCGATACTGATGACGGAAAGATTAAGGTAATTAGAATAAGAATCATAACACACTCCTAAGAAAATTCATTCCTTTTTACATTAAAATATTTCAAAGAAGAACGTCTCCCCTTCCTCCCACCGTTTGCCAACACATTACATAAATAACTAAGTTACATTTCTTACTACTTTGGTTCTTTTTGAACGAAAAAAGAAAAACTATCGCGTGATAAAATGATTCCTGGCCATATGAATAAGGACAAGAAAAATTTAAGCTATTACAGACTTTTAAGAATTAGGAATTAAGTAACCTTGACTGGAGTAGTTAGTATCAATTATTACACACAGTTGCTCGCCTTTCTACAATATGTTTGATTTCTTTGGTTTTATTCCAGGACTGTACCTTTAACAAACTGCAGTCTAATTCAGCGCTCAGAGTCTCATTCCAGGGCAACATAAGGGTCGAAGGTAGTATTAAGTGTAACCGGTGGTATTTCAAGTTCAATGGAAATGAATGCAGTGGACCAATGACGATTGAGGCTGTTATTTACAGCTACTGGCCATCTGGGATCCCTAATCTCCTGTATCATCGGTCATTTGAGGGATTCTGTGAAAACCTTCCACAAGGCGCTGTTAGAGTGGAATTATGGGTAGGAAAGTGTATAGTAGCTACACCTTGGGTGATGCTGTGACCGGGTGGAATTCAGTGTCCCGGATAATGATCGAAGAAGTATCTAGGCCCCAGTCCTAATAAGGGGAGTTTTGGAGCTGTTTTAATTTCCTTAGAATAGCATTCTACAAATACAGACTGTAAAGCACAAGGTGCGAAAGAATTGTTTTTGGACATTTCTTTTTAGCCCTTTGGGGTTACCTCCGTCGTTTTAGATTGTCAGTAGTAAACTCTTATAACAGTATCAAGATTTTGTATTATTATGCCGGCATGTTAGTCCTATTCATGCACGTTTTTGCAGCAGTTGCAGTTCTTTGTTTTGTCACGTAGCGCGTCGCTAGCTCCTTTGAGGGGAGGCACTTTCGCGACAACACAAAAATCGGCTGAGCGCGTAGGGAATTGGTGCCCAATGCAAAATTTTAAACCTAAAACAGAAAACTGATCCTTAGGGCAGGAGGAGTGATATCTACTGGGTACCTAAATCACCAGTGCTGTATGGGTATACCCGGTAGGAGATACCGTATGTGTATAACCGGTCTTGAATGCCTATACAACAAGTCATAGCCAGTTAAGTTACTGCCGGACCGTTGCAGTACGAACTTCCGTCAAGAGTGCAGTTTTTCCTTTATCTATCAAGGCTTTTATTGCTTTGTA